TGTAGAACAACCTTTCTCAGCAATTACAGCTGCAAGTATTTTTGGGAATGTCTCTACCAGCTTTGCACATCTAGAGAGTGAAGTTTTTGCCCATTCTTCTTTGCAAAATAGCTCAAGCTCTGTCAGATTGGATGGAGAGAGTCTGTCAAAAGCAATTTTCAAGTCTTGACACAGATTCTTAATTGGATTTAGGTCTGGACTTTGACTGGGCCATTCTAACACATGAATATGCTTTGATCTAAACCATTCCATTGTAGCTCGGGCTGTACGTTTAGGGTCATTGTCCTGCTGTAAGGTGAACCTCCACCCCAGTTTCAAGTCTTTTGCAGACTCTTAAAAGGTTTTCTTCTAAGATTGCCCTGTATTTGGCTCCATCCATCTTCCCATCAACTCTGACCATCTTCCCTGTCCATGCTGAAGAAAAGCATCCTCACAACATAATGCTGCCACCACCATGTTTCACGGTGGGGATGGTGTGTTCAGGGTGATGTGCAGTGTTAGTTTTCTGCCACACATAGGAGGAGATTTACTAAAACTGGTGCACACAGAATCTGGTGCAGTTGTGCATGGTAGCCAATCAGCTTCTAATTTCAGCTTATACTTTGGCAATAAAACTTGGAAACTGATTGGTTTCTATGCAAAGCTGTGCCACATTTTGCACTCTCCAGTCTTAGTAAATTGCCCCATAGCATTTTGCTTTTAGGCCAAAAAGTTAAAATTTTGTCTCATCTGACCACAGCACCTTTTCCACATGTTTGCTGTGTCCCCCACATTGCTTCTCGCAAACTGCAAATTAGACTTATGGCTTTCTTTCAACAATGACTTTCTTCTTGCCACTCTTCCATAAAGGCCAGATTTGTGGAGTGCTCGACTAATAGTTGTCCTGTGGACAGATTCTCCCACCTGAGCTGTGGACCTTTGCAGCTCCTCCAGAGTTACCATGGGCCTCTTGGCTGCTTCTCTGAATAATGCTCTCCTTGCCCGTTCTGTCAGTTTAGGTGGACGGCCATGTCTTGGTAGGTTTGCAGTTGTGCCATACTCTTTCAATTTTCAGATGATGGGTTGAACGATGCTCCGTGAGTGTTCAAAGCTTGGGATATTTTTTTTAACCTAACCCTGCTTTAAACTTCTCCACAACTTTTTCCCTGACCTGTCTGGTGTGTTCCTTGGCTTTCATGATGCTGTTTGTTCATTAATCTTCTCTAACAAACCTCTGAGAGCTTTACAGAACAGCTGTATTTATACTGAGATTAAATCACACACAGGTGGACTCTATTTACTAATTAGGTGACTTCTGAAGGCAATTGTTCCACTAGATTTTAGTTAGGGGTATCAGAGTAAAGAGAGTTGAACACAAATGCACACCACACTTTTCAGATATTTCTTTGTAAAAAATTCTGAAAACCATTTATCATTTTCCTTTCACTTCACAATTATGTGCCACTTTGTGTTGGTCTATGACATAAAATCCGAATAAAATACATTTACGTTTTTGGTTGTAACATGGCAAAATGTGGAAAATTTCAAGGGGTATGAATACTTTTTCAAAGCACTGTACACCTCTACACTCACAACCATATTAAAAGGCACATGAAACACAAAGTTGTGATACTGTTGGATAGATTAATTAGTGGAGATGAACTCCAATGAGATATTTAAAGAAGAAATATTGGTTAGTGCAGTTACGTAGTCACTAATATATTAAAAACAAATCTGGTGTAATTACCAGAACCTTTCTTGGCCTCAGTCAACATATAGCGCAACATCCAGACTATTAAAAGAAGGGGGGAGTGTCAAAACAGGCAGCCTAAAAATGCACAGTCTTAAGCATTAACAGAAAAAGATGTAGAAACAAATTTCATTTAAATGTTTTGGGTCACATGATGAAAGGCAACTTTTCATAGTTTTTTTTAAAATGATGGTCTGTAAGAGTAGGTTAGAAGAAGGCAAACAGCTTCTGCATAGGATGGTCACAGCCAGCTCCTGAGCTACCTGTTCCCTTAGCCATTGCAGCTAACTAATCATGTGGTTAGGCATGGGGGCTCTCAGTTGGGCAGAGATTTGCAGGGAACATCAGTTACAGTTGTCAGTGAATGGGCAGAGGCTTTAATGGGTAGAACAGACCACTACACACTGGTCAGCTCAGCTCCCCCCCCCCCCCCCAGCCATATAGGATGTATGGCCGGGCTGACTTTTGCTGCACAGATTGTCTGAGAGTTATGCGCTTACTGTATTGGTTTGAGAAATTGACACGTCTCTTGAGACTCACTATTGGCCAGTGGGGTATCCTATAACTAATAGGCCAGACACTATAGATTTATCTTTGCTACAGTCAAAGTTGACCCGTATTCAAAAAGTAAAGATTTGCTATCTGATAGAAAGCATCTCAGATGGCTTATTGTGGCTAAAATGTAACCTAAATATATCTACCGTTTGCAGTGAATTTCATCTGTAAAATAGCAGTGCACATCTTGACATAATCTGTACCTAGACAATGCAGGTCCTGTAGTTACATATCTGAGCTTTGAGGTCATCTAAGGCATATCCTGCCATTTACTGCCTCTAATAACTGCTATTCTTATTAAATTCACCTCATTCACTGAGCTTTGAGACAAATTCCTTGCGAAGTGCAACTTTCCTTGCAAAGTGGCCAGCATATTTGCCTTTAGTAAATCAACCCTCCGCCCTTGTGTGTCCATTAGGTAGATTTTCTCTCTCTCCCCATCTCGGTGATGGGAAATATCTCCAATAAGCAGAGAGAGTTTAGTGTTTTAGTAGAGGTTTTTTAGTAGAAGTTTTTATGGCTGCCTGTGCCATCTATCCTCCCCCGATAACCCCCATTTTCCATTAAAACCTAAACCAATTCCAGCCTCTCCCACTCTATTCAACACTAAATTAAACTTTTTGGCTGGAGTATGGCTTTAATGTGTTGTTTCTTGGCAGCGTTTTTGACGTAATATTGATACTGTCAGGGGTTACACCTGCTGAAATCCAGTTTTAGGTTTTTTTATTTTTGAGTAATGAAGTCTATTTGATACATACTCCAGTAGGTGTATTTATAAAAACATAAGAACCATTGCCCAAATGGCTTCTTTCACTAGCACTCACCCATGCCATTGTTAAGAATAACTATAACATGGCTGTGCATGTTTATCTCCTGTGTCTTGGGTTATTCTGTCTTGTCCAGATGTTGTACGTCTTTGTACAGTGGTTGAAGTATGAGAGATTCCATTAGTACTGAGAAGAAATGATAAAGCACACTGAGCTTTGATTTGTGGCCTTATTTTCTGTTACCTAATTTACAAATCCACTTGGGAGTCTAAGCTGAGAATTTATCTGCACCTGTGGAATACAAATGAGTCGGATTTGGGTAGAGCAGATACGAAAATGTTTCTGGATGGTTCCTTATGAAGAACAATGGATCATGAATTTACTTCCCTTTATTGTCCTTTATCTGAAGCGATTTCTGTCTTCATCCAAAATATATTTTGCCGTCACAACGGGGAATTCATTTTTGCTTCTTTCAAATGCTGTTTGGAGAGTTTTAATGAGTTCTGAGAATTGTAAGAAGACTTCTCTGATCAGTGCTAAGATAGTAGAAAGTACAGAAGATAATAAAAGCAATATTTGTATTCAGAAAGTCTTTTTTGTTTTCAGAATTAATGCAGTAGCTTTACCGTTTGCATGCCCTGCTTAAAGCAGATCTTTGGGCTTTCAGTCAAAATAGAGTTGAAATATACACCCACCGGCCTCTTTATTAGGTACACCTGTTCAATTTCTTGGTAACACAAAGTGCTATTGATTCAATCACATGGCAGCAACTCAATGCATTTAGACATCTAGATGTGGTGAAGACGACTTGCTAAGGTTCAAACCGAGCATTAGAAAGGGGACAAAAGGGGATTTAAGTGTCTAAACGTGGCATGGTTGTTGGTGCCAGCCGGGTTTGTCTGAGTACTTCAAAAACTGCTGATATACTGGGATTTTCACTCACAACCATCTCTAGGATTTACAGAGAATGGTCAGAAAAATAGAAAATATCCAGTGAGCGGCAGTTGTGTGCATGAAAATGACTTGTTGATGTCAGAGATCAGAGGAGAATGGGCAGACTGGTTCAAGATGATAGAAAGGCAACAATAACTCAAATAACGACTTGTTACAATGAAGGTATGTGAAATACCACCTCTGAATGCACGTCTGTATCTGTAGCAGATGGGCTACAGCAGCAAAAGACCACTCTGGGTGCCACTCCTGTCAGCTAAGAACAGGAAACGGAGGCTATAATTCTCACAGGCTCACCAAAATTGGACAATAGAAGATTGGCAAAACTTATGATGAGTCTCAATTTCAGCTGCGACATTCACATGGTAGGGTCAGAATTTGGCATAAACAACATGAAAGCATGGATCCATCCTGCCTTGTACCAACGGTTCAGGCTGGTGGTGTAATGGTGTGCGGAATAATTTCTTGGCACACTTTGGGTTCCTTAATATAAATTATACCCCCTTCCTGCCCAGGCCAATTTCCAGCTCTCAGCGCTGTCACACTTTGAATGACAATTACGCGGTCATGCAACACTGTACTCATATGAAATTTTTATCATTTTTTTGAGACAGATAGAGCTTTCTTTTGGTGGTATTTAATCACCTCTGGGATTTTTATTTTTTCTTAAACAAACCAAAAACCACTGAAAATTTTGAAAAAAAAAAATTTTTTCTTAGTTTTTGTTATACAATTTTGTAAATAAGTGATTTTTCTCCTTCACTGATGTGCGCTAATGAGGCTGCAGTGATGGGCACTGATAGGCTGTACTGATGGACACTGATAGGTGGCACTGATGGCCACTGATGAGGAGGCACTGGTAGGTTGCACTGATGGGCATTGACAGGCATCACTGATGGGCACTGAAAGGCAGCACTGATACATGACACTGATAGGCGGCACTGATAGGCAGCACTGACTGGCACTGTTAGGCAGCACTGACTGGCACTGTTAGGTGGCACTGACTGGCACTGTTAGGTGGCACTGATTGGCAGCATTGATAGGTGGCACTGATTGGTATTGATATGTGGCACTGACTTGCACTGATGGGTGACATTGAAAGGCAGCTTAGATGGGCACTGATATGTGGCATTGATGTGCACTGGTATGCACTGATATGTGGCATTGATGTGGCACTGATGGGCACTGGCACTGATGAGCACTGACAGGTGGCACTTCTGGAGCCACACTGATCATCAGGGCACACTGTTCATCAGTGCCCTGATGATCAGTGTACATGTCCCCTCCGCGGAAAGCCGATTACCAGCTCTCCTCTGGAGTTGTCAGCGTGACAGCTCGAGAGGAGAGAAATGCCGATAACCGGCATTTCCGTGTTTACATGTGATCAGCTGTGAATGGACACAGCTGATCACACGACCGAGCCGACATCTTCGGCTCTTTCCGTGATCCGCTGTGTCTGAGGGACACAGCGGACCGGCGATCGCCACGCTGTGCGCTCCCTGAGCCGCACATGCGCAGTGAGAATGGTAGGACATCATATGACGTCCTATCAGAACGAGAGAACCACCTTGCACCTGTCATTGTACTATAGGGGGGCGGAAGGTGGTTAAACACCATGACCCACCTGAGTATTGTTGCTGACCATGTCCATCCCTTAATGACTACAGTGTCCCCATCTTCTGATGGCTACTTTCAGCGGGATAATGCTCCATGTCACAAAGCTCAAATCATCTGAAACTGGTTTCTTGAACATAACAATGAGTTCACTGTACTCCAATGGCCTCCACAGTCACCAGATCTCAATCCAATAGAGCACTTTGGGATTTGGTGGAACGGGAGATTCACATCATGGATATGCAGCCAACAAATTTGCAGCAACTGGGGGATGCTATCATGTCAGTATGGTCCAAAATCTCTGAGGAATGTTTATAACACCTTGTTGAATCCATGCCATGAAGAATTAGGGCAGTTCTGAGGGCAAAAGGGGGTCCAACCCAGTACTAGCAAGATGTACCTAATAAAGTGGCCGGTGAGTGTATGTACATTATTTGAACAGTTTTAAATTAGAAAGGATGTGTAATCTGATCATTCATTACTGTGATTCACACAGTTCTAGTGTCCTGCACAGACAGGCAGGCTACTTATTCTGGTTCAGATTTGCAGCTTCCTGTTACATGAGTCTTTCTCCAGTCTGTTCAATGAACAAGGAATCACTTCATTATACCAAATGGGCACAAAGCTAACCCAGGAAGCAGTAAAGCTGAACCAGAAAATAACGTGATGGAAGGATTTGTATGTTTCTGCAGAAAAGTGTAAATTACAAGATTGACTGAATAGAATTAAAAATCTATAGCCACCTATTTGTGCTACAACAGTATATTTAGTTTTTTGAATGAAGTTTCACATTGAATAGTCTTATTACATTCCCCTGAATGAAGGAACTAATACAGTGTCTCTGCAAACAACCCAACCGCCTTAGGCCTTGTTCACACAGGCTTACTTAAAGAGGGGCTTCAGCCAGAGTTCCAAAAATTGAAATTCAACAGCTGCAAAAACTGTGGCTGCTGACTTTTAATAAACAGGCACTTACCTGTCCAGGGATCCAGCACTGTCCTCACCCGGGCTGGTTCTTTGCCGGTCTAAGGGGTCCCCCATGCTAGCATGTTAACTGTGGGAATTCGGCTTTGACTCCTTGTGGCTTAACAGCAGCTTCCTCATTGTGCATGCGCTGCACACTGTGAATGGTCCCATAGCCTTCTAGAACCTGAGATGTGTCTCAGAAGGCTGCAGGTGGGGAGCCAACTTTCAGTGGAATCGCCTAGACAGACCGACTGGAAATGGGAGCGAGAACCTGCTAAAACTAGGTACCTGCTCCTCCCACCTAACAAAAAAATTCCAAATATGGCAAGGGGGAGGGGAGGAAAAGCAGAACTTCCCCTTTTGCGTGCAGTTCGGATTTAAGCGTATATCCATGTGCGGGTCTTGTTTGCCCACACGGAACACACTGGTGTTCTGTGCATCTGCATACAAGAATTCCCATTCATTTCAATTGAGACACAGCAGTTGCACAAAAACAGCCATTGCTCCCATTTTGACATCCGTATGCCGGTGCGCGGGTGCGTGTCCTCAAACTCACGCTGTCTGTGTTTGGAGATACGAACCTGCACACACTCCTAATTATTTAATTAGTATTATTTACCTACTTGTGTATATTTGGTTTTTGCAAATACATGTTTGTTCAAATTGTAGTGCTTTTGTTGTGTATTAAACAAACGTAGGGTCCAATTTTAGGAGAGAGCATAGAGCTCTGTAAACATTGGGCAGTACAGAGCGGACTCTACAGCTTCCATTCACTGACATGGAGTGGCCAGTAGAGCTGGGGCATTCCAGTGACCACACTGATTACTGTATATAACAGCAGAAACCTGTACAAAATTGATGCAAGATGCCTGAATGGAGGACAAAAGCCACTAAAATTTGTAAGTCTTTTTCAAAATAATAATGATAATAAAAGGCACACAATTTATACGATGTATGCACATCTAAAAAAATTAAATATTTTATTCTAGCTTGAGATTGTTGTATTTAGGAACAGTTTGGCTTTAAAATCTAGGACACATGCTATCAAGCTGAAAATTGTTTATTTTATAATGTTTTTGCTTAAAAAAGCCTATAAGCCAAACATTTGGAAGTTTTTATACCCTTTTAAAATATTTTAGAGAGATTTCAGTAAACAGATTAATTAATGCTAATGAATGAACAGACACATACTTGCTGTTAGGCAAATAACCCAAAAAAGGCAGATGAAGCTACTTTCTGTAGACTTGCAGTACAGATGGAAAATTTGTCTACTAATGCTTAATGTACCAATTAGGCAATCTTTCACTGAATAATTTCATTGTTTGGTTTTCAGTTTATCTGTCACTATTTAATCCATTTTCTTTTCTAATGTGGAAAACCCAGGTAGTGTACTTGTGTACTGTTTTTAAAAATGTATCTTAGCTTCCTAGGCCACAACAGAATGTAAAAGGAATCCTATGATTCTGATCAGGGGCGGACTGAGATATCATGTGGCCCCCTGGCAATAGGGGATCATATGACCCCTGTGTTCTCGCCCACACTCAAACCACACCCAAAAAAGCCTACAAAAGGTACTAGGGGCATCTCATGGGGCCCCCTACTGTGCCCGAGTGCTCGAATGGTCAGTCTGCCCCTGATTCTGATTTAAATTTTTTTAAATGTTTAAATTGAGGTTTTTTATCTATTATTGCTATTTAAACAATTGTTGTCCAAACAACCATTTATTACAATTATAATTATAACCATTTAGTACACATAGTATAGGATACCTACCCACCGGTTTTTCAAAGAGAAGGCAAAACAGTAGCAGTTTCCTTTCAGCGATTGTATCTCTGATTGAAACAGAGGATGAAGTAAGAAGGAGGGAGATGAGTCTCTGCTATCACTCCTTAACTTGTACATGTACATTTTTGCTTTACCTAGTAAAAAGAAAGCCAGATTAACGTGTGAAAAAGAGCGGAGAGCTCCATCTGCTGCCTGGAAAGAAAAATATAAAATATCTATGTGCAAAAAAAGAAAGTATGTACAGTGGGGATCGAAAGTTTGGGCACCCCAGCTAAAAATTTGTATTAATGTGCATAAAGAAGCCAAGGAAAGATGGAAAAATCTCCAAAAGGCATCAAATTACAGATTAGACATTCTTATAATATGTCAACAAAAGTTAGATTTTATTTCCATCATTTACACTTTCAAAATAACAGAAAACAAAAAAATGGCGTCTGCAAACGTTTGGGCACCCTGCAGAGTTAATATCTTGTACTGCCCCCTTTGGCAAGTATCACAGCTTGTAAACGCTTTTTGTAGCCAGCCAAGAGTCTTTCAATTCTTGTTTGAGGTATCTTTGCCCATTCTTCCTTACAAAAGTCTTCCAGTTCTTTGAGATTTCTGGGCTGTCTGTCACGCACTGCTCTTTTAAGGTCTATCCATAGATTTTCAATTATGTTGAGGTCAGGAGATTGTGAAGGCCATGGCAAAATCTTCAGTTTACGCCTCTTGATGTAATCCCCCGTGGATTTCGAGGTGTGTTTAGGATCATTATCCATTTGTAGAAGCCATCCTCTCTTTAACTTCAGCTTTTTCACAGATGGCATCAAGTTACCATCCAAAATTTGCTGAAATTTTATTGAATCCATTTTTCTTTCTACTCGTGAGATGTTCCCTGTGCCACTGGCTGCAACACAACCCCAAAGCATGATTGATCCAACCCCATGCTTAACAGTTGGACAGAGGTTCTTTTCATTAAATTCTGTGCCCCTTCTTCTCCAAACGTACCTTTGCTCATTCCGGCCAAAAAGTTCAATTTTAACCTCATCGGTTCACAGAACTTGTTTCCAAAATGCATCATGCTTGTCTATATGTTCATTTGCAAAGTTCAAACGATGATTTTTGTGGTGAGGACGTAGAAGAGGTTTTCTTCTGATGACTCTTCCATGAAGACCATATTTGTACAAGTATCTCTTTATAGTGGAAAAGTGTACCACAACTCCAGTGTCTGCCAGATCTTTCTGGAGGGATTGTGCAGTCAAACGTGGGTTTTGAATTGTTTTTCTCACAATCCTGCGAGCTGTTCTGTCTGATATTTTTCTTGGTCTTCCAGATCTTGCTTTAACTTCCACTGTTCCTGATGACTGCCATTTCTTAATTACATTCCGAACAGAGGATATTGACATCTGAAAACGCTTTGCTATCTTCTTATAGCCTTCTCCAGCTTTGTGAGCGTCAACTATTTTCAGTTTCAGTTTTCTAGACAACTACTTAGAAGAACCCATAGTGCTGATTTTTGGGGCAAGGTCAGATGAGTCTGGGCATTTAAAACCTTTGAGATTGACATAACCTGGTCTTCCCAGACGATGATTGAGAACAATCCATGACACTGGCAGGTCTCAGCTTTGCCAAGGGTGCAGTACATGCTATAAATTCTGCAGGGTGCCCAAACTTTTGCAGACGCCATTTTTTTGTTTTCTGTTATTTTGAAAGTGTAAATGATAAAAATAAAATCTAACTTTTGTTGACATATTATAAGAATGTCTAATCTGTAATTTGATGCCTTTTGGAGATTTTTCCATCTTTCCTTGGCTTCTGTATGCACATTAATACAAATTTTTAGCTGGGGTGCCCAAACTTTCGATCCCCACTGTATATATACAGTGGGTATAGAAAAGAATCACTCGCCTTTAATATAATCACAATTTGTTGCTTTGCAGCCTGAAAGGAGACAGACACAGTTTGTGTTTGATCCAGTTGTATTTACTGAGCTGCATGGTTGAGGTGCCATAAAGAAGCCTTTACTGCACCAATGCCACAAAAAAGCCTGGTGAGGCATGTCAAGGTATTGTCGAGCATATTGTAACTGGCAACTTGACCATGCAGCTCATTTTTGTTCAAGTATTGTTGTATTGTG